TCTCTCTCTCTCTCTCTCTCTCTCTCTCTCTCTCTCTCCCCGTAGCGATATCTCCAGCGCAGCAGGTACGCAGTAACCCAATCTTGTATCGCTCAACTTTCCCTACCTCTCTCTCTCTCTCTGTCTTCTTCTTCGTCGTGGTCTTCTGTGCAGGTGCGCGGCGGCTTCTTCCACCTTCGGGTCCGCTATGGCGGACTACTACTCTCGGCGGCCACCTCTGCTATGGCGCGTCAGGCCCTGCACACGACGGCGCGCATGGAATAGCGGGTACCAGCTCTGATACCAATGCAATCAGACTCGTTCTCACTCACACTTTTCATGCATGTAAACAGTAGCGCAGCAAACTGGCGACATGCGGCCACTCAAAACTCAGAGATATGGCATCCAGATACAAGTTCACTTCCAATAGGCTATGGCGACTCAGCGCCCAAACAACTCACTGTTCACATACACCGGATCACCCTGGATATCCCACACGCAACTCTCTGAACTCACACACACACGCACACACGCACACACACTGAACACTAAACTACAGCTATGGCAGCTGTGGCTGCCTCTACCCTATCACTAAGCTACGCTCCTTCTCTCTCGCCCTCTTCAGCTCCAGGCTCTCTGTAGACCTCCTTGCACAAGACGGTGTGGCAGCGCTTCCGCATGGCTCACACAGGAATGAATGAATGGCTGGGCGCTGCCTCTTGATTTATACTTCTGAAACTCGTTGGTCTGCCCTTTGCCATCGGCCCATGGTGCTCACAGTCCCTTGTGGTACTTGCTGGACTCGGCTGGGACTGGACTGGACCTTACCGCTGACTGACTGGGGACTCACTGCTATCCCTCCGGACTCGTACTGCAATCGCACTGCAGTTTAGTCCACCACTTGACTCACCACTTGCCCACTTGCCCACTTGCTGACCTTCTAGAAGGGCTACAGCTAGGCTTCTGGAACTCACTAAGACTCCTACTCTATAGGTCTACAGATCGAACCCCTGCTTCCTTTGGGACCCTATGACAGACTACTAGCTGTTACAAATACACAGGTCGCAGGTTCAACTCTCAGGGTCTACACAGGTACTGTACACAGGTAGGGCAAGGTCTAGGGATCGAACCTTGGGATCTGTGTCTGCTACTGCTAAGAGGTGAAAACCGTTTCATGAGTGAAGTTGCTCTCAAAATCCAATCGCTCCTTCCCTTTTTAAGTTTTTACCGTAGGCCGCCCTCTTGTGGCTATGATGCGCAATCTCCCCTTCGGTCTCGCCAACTCCTTTCACCCACTCCTTCCTGGTGTGATAAGATTCTGACTATCCTATGTAGTCAACCAGTCATCCCTCCACCAATACTCGTACTCCTCTCCCCGTCCCCTTTGTTACCTCCGTAGATATTTTACTAATCGCCCTCGTTACTTTCCAAAGGTATTTTACTAATCACCCGCATTACTTTATTGGAGCAACAATCTCCGTGGTCGACTTCTCTTCACTCCTAGACTCACCCCTATCGCATTAAGCGCTCATGCACTTAGTCTTCGTTACTTCATTGGATCAACAATCTTCGTGATCTACTTCTCCTCACCCCGAGACTCGCCCCTATCACATTAAGCACTCATGCACTTAGTCCTGGTACTGTCCCGATATCTCGAAGTCCAAATCCAAATGCACCGCTGACATCCATCAACCACCACCCTCTCTCGCAAGCCAAATGCTATTCTCAGCGGCTCAATCACACTCCCTTCCATCTGACTATGTTAAAAGGACGAACACCAAGTTACAATAGTGTATCAGACCTTTGGAGCCAAAAGCCGGTCCCCTCTGGAGGTATTCCGCTGATCACCCTTGTCATCAGCATCATGTACTCGTATTCTCGGATGGCAGAACCGCATTAGAGCATTCACCACCGTCTCGACTTCTCATCCTCTCAAAACTCAATCCCATCATATTAAAAAGAATCATGCTCCTAGTCCCTATAATATCCCAGGCTCCAATCGCGCCGCTATAATCCTCATACCTATTTAAACAGACTTCAGCGAAACATTCTCCTTTTTGGCCACGTGGCACCGAACACCATTAGCCTCCGTCAGCATCCACACCACGCTTGCAAGCCTGTAAATGTATTCCGCGGCGCAATCACGCACCTTAGCAGTCGATGCTGTAGACACTTAAAAACGACGCTGTCGACATCACTCAGAGTGCTCCAACCTCACGCTGTCTACGTGTCAAAAGACCACACATGCTCATCGAAGTGCCCGCTGCCCAACAAGTCATTCATTCCCCGTATATCTGGATAACCGCTCGGCACTAACATTGAAGCGTGAGAAGACATACATGTTTTATACTAACCTCTGTAGAGTCCAAAGCTGGTCTGCACCTAGTCGCCGTAACATCCCGATACCTTGAACACGGATTCCAAAAGCACCACTATATGTTTTCATATCTATTCCAGCAAAAAAGACTCCAAGCGAGACATTACCCCTTCTGGCCACGTGGCGAAAAAACACTTATCACCCGTCACCATCCACCCTAACATTCCCAGCCTATTGCCGTACTCTGCGGCGCAATCTTGATTCCGTATCTTCATTTTGTTTTTTCAACTTACCAGGACAGCAACTCAATACTAACTTCCCTGTGTTCCTGTTTGCACGTAGTTTTGATAATTAGAAGACGACGCTGTAGATGACACACAAAGTACACCAAAACCACTCCTTCTCATGGAAGTTTCGGCAGCCCAATGTCAGCGTGACTGTGGCCTCACTGTGTGAGACATGCACCGACTCGCGGATTCACGCATGCTCATGGAAGTGTCGGCAACCCATCATGACGTTCCTTCACAATCTTGTCAGCGAGAAACCAACCACAATGTGTGAGGAGACATGCACTCGCGACACTGGCTTCACTGTGTGAGAAGACCTGCACCTGGCCATAATACTGTGTCAATACTTAAGAGCCAACATTTTATAGTCCGCCAATCATTCCCCAACCTAACGCTCTCCCATCTGGCGACGTGGCAGAGAGCCACACGCACACATGGAGCTGTCAACTTCGACGTGAGTCAAACAGCCGCATGGAGCTGTCGACTTCGACGCGAGTCAAACAACCGTGCCACTCGTCCGCAAGCCTGTTGCGGTAACCAGCGGCGCAACAGCGCTCAGAGTACACCTCTCTCCATGTGGGCATTATGCTGTTCCGCCCTTGGTGGAGCACTTAAGGAAAAGGTGGAGCTGGAGTGAGATGGTGAAGACCTCCATGGCTATGGAGGAGTAGCAAGGAGGAGGTAGAAGTAGGCCTAGGCAACTGAGGTGAGGAAGAAGGACCTCCAGCCAGGCTATGGAGTAGTAGAAGAGGTAAAAGCAGGAAGAGTGAGACTCACCTTTGGTA